TTTCGATTATCCGGATTTTTCCTTATCCGGACGACCTTCATCCCCAATTAGTCCGGATAATCAAGGTTCTACTGTATTTTGAAGTTCTCTTACTTGCTTTTTTATAGAACAATTTTTATAGAAAAAGCTTCATTAGAAATTACTCAACATCATTTACACATTTACGTTATTGATTTTTCCCTCTGCGCTTTCAACTAAGGTAAACTATTTTTCTACTTTGTGCTAGATAATTACAGATTTTATAATTATGTTACCTTATTAATGTTTCGCATTGATCAGGTACTAAGCCTTTAACAGATTCTACTTCTGATGTAGCATTTGATGTTCCTGATACAACAGTTTCTGTGTTTGAAGCTTCATCTGTTTCCATTCCTTTCTCTTTAGATTTATTATTTTCTTTCTTCTCTTTATCTTTTTCACTTTCTTCTTTTGTTTCAGCAGTAAGCATAACAGGTCTCCAATTTCCAGTTTCTTCATTTACCTATATATATAGTATTACCTTAGATATATGTAAAAAGCAAAAGTTTTTGTTTACATTATATTAACTTTTACCTGAGCCATTGTACTGAACTGAATAGTATATCTTCTCCTTCCAGCAGTAAATCGCACTGTTTGTTCTCCATTTCTATATGCATCATCTATTGATTTATTATTATTTGCAGTGTAACTATTCCATCTGTTACTCCTATCATCAAACCATTTCCATTGACGTTTAGGAATCTAAAAGATTTTTAATTAATAGATTACTTATCATTACTATTCAGTAAATATAATAAATCATTCAAAATTATGTTAAACAATTCAACATACAGAAAAATATTTTTACAAAATTTAATAGAGTCTAAAATTTAATGTTCATGAAATTCTTAATAAACTTATCTAAAACAAAAGTAAAAACCTGTTATTTCAATAATCATTTTTGAAACAACAATCAAAAATTAGACAAAAATGATTTTAAATACTGTATTATATTTATATTACTTTAAATTAACATAATAAAAACATTTTTATTTTTTTTCACTCACAGGAATACAAATTTAAATCTTTTCATATTATAATGATTAAATTTATTAGAATGAGGAAACACTGTAAATTACCAATTCATGCAATTTTAAAAGTGAAAAATTATCATCTTTCTAAATATTGTTTCAAAGGAATTTATACCACTGATAATGAAGCACTGCAGTGGAATTTAAACTGAAAACATGAGACACAAAATTGTACAAAACATAACTTGTTTTGTCAACTAATTATTTCAATCCAATCATTACCAAATATATATTAGTTTACTCCCAACTAGTTACCAAGCTATCATTGTTTAAGAAATTTTATATTCTTATTTCATCAAATGACATCAAAGGCTTACTACTATCCACAGGAAATTTCAATTGATATCATCTAATGATGACACTAAATTACAATCTTTGTGATTACTCAGGATGTATTTTCTTCATAATTTGAAGTTTGGACTATGTACAAAAAGTCTAAAATAACTTTTGAGTCCATCTTTATCCCTTATACACTACCACAGAAGTAACAGTCTAAAAAACTGCTTTGAAGAACTCTTCTTATACACAGGTAAAAATTGGTAAAAAAATCTCACAAGGTTAAAAAAGATCAAGTGTCAGCCTTTCATTGTAGGTTTCTGACACTTTTACAATTAAAAACACAAAGATATAAGGGATAAAGATGGACTCAAAAGTTATTTTAGACTTTTTGTACATAGTCCAAACTTCAAATTATGAAGAAAATACATCCTGAGTGATCACAAAGATTGTAACTATATGCAAATAATGTTAGATACTCGTTACTACCACTAGAGGGCTAGAAGCTGTTTAAAAAGTTGGATAAAAATGATAGTGTGAAGAATTTCTGTGTGTTTTTAATTGTAAAAGTGTCAGAAACCTACAATGAAAGGCTGACACTTGATCTTTTTTAACCTTGTGAGATTTTTTACCAATTTTTTCCTGTGTATAAGAAGAGTTCTTCAAAGCATTTTTTTAGACTGTTACTTCTGTGGTAGTGTATAAGGGATAAAGATGGACTCAAAAGTTATTTTAGACTTTTTGTACATAGTCCAAACTTCAAATTATGATAACACTAAATTATTTGCAAGATATCACTAATGACACTAATAAATAGATATCAATGTTGTTACATCACATTATTAAAGATCAATCATGTAATTTATGACAATACCAAACACATTGCAGATGAAATGGTCATACTATATGACAGTCAAAATATCATTTGCCACTTCAAATGAAAAGCTATTAAAGTCATTCAATTTTGTGAATGTACAAATTTATTCACAAGTACTTTTTCAGCATTTTCCTGTGTCAGTTTAAATTCAATTAATGGAATCAACAAACTCATTCAAAATAAGTCTTAAAGTTGTTATATTTTAGTAATTACTTTATTTCTAATCAATAATATTACTTCTGAAATTTAAAAAATGATTATATCATTATCTTATATTTTTAAACATAATATGTTTTATATTCAATTAGCTAATCCTTTTCATATTTCATTGCATTCATTTAAATGCTATTGTCTCATTCAGATCATGATTTTTGAAATTTTAAATTATAACCTAACACATTAGATACTGGAAACTTATTTGCCCAAAACTAAAAAACCAACTTACAATTTTTAGACAAAAATAAATTAATTGCACAATATTAAAATCAAGTATCTATAATTGCTATAATTACCTGAAGTAAAGGAGCTCTTCTTCTTGAAGCAATTGCAGCCTTCTCATATAGATCTATCAGAAGGACTAGAGGAGCTAACCACCTATAAAAAAATTATATAACAATAATGTTTTTACAGTAATTATATGCAGACAGATTACATCAAAAATAATCCAAATAAATCAAATTATTTTCATTATAGTTTTAAAATATTCCTTAGCCAATGAGGAAAGCATTACTTGTATTGTTATGAACTGTTCTCTAATAGTAAATGTCATCTTTGGTACTTTTTTAATAGTTTCCTTATGAAAATCTCAGAATATTTGCTTTAATAATTCAAATACTGTCAATATAACTTTTTCATAAATGTTTATTTAAAAACAATCTATGTTAACATAGACAAACTCGATAGACAAACTCGAACAAATCTGCATTATAACATTTCATTTCTACACACAGGAAATCCTCAATGTTTCAGTATAATATCATTGAAGAAAAACACAAACATATTTGTAATCATTCACAATTATAATTGATGAATTAAATAAAAACTTGAAGTTATAAACACAATCCAATTAGAAAAATAATGATTGAATTACAGTCTGTTTCAAAATTATAAACACACCCAACTTTTTTCAATAACAAAAGCATTAAAAATAGTAATGTATTTACAGTGGTGTGCAAAACTTAAGGACGAGATAGATAAAGTAACAGAACTTATGAACAACTCAGTGGAAATGAATGAAAGTGCGGGAGCATCTTGCCAGAGGTCTCTCAGTTGCATACAGAAAGCTTGACGTCACATGACATCAGGTCAGCGTGACTATAGCGCCAAATGCGGCTGGCCACACAACACGGAGTTGAAGAAATGGTAAAAGACAGTGTGTGTCAATCAGTGAGCAGTTACAGTGCACTGTGGTAGTGTTCTTCATTACAACATGGCCCAGAGACAACATTTGGATGACTTCACACGGGGAAGAATCATTGGGAGACTGGAAGAAGGACAAAGTGTGATGAGTGTAGCCCAGGAGTTTGGTATTGCTCACAGCATTGTTTCACATGCATGGGGAGCATTTCAAACCACAGGCACTGCTGCCTATAGGAGAGGAGGTGGTCAGCCACGATCAACTACAGCAGCAGATGACCGCTACATTGTGCAACAGGCAATAAGGGACCCATGTCAATCAGCGGGTGCAATTGCAACTACATTTAACAGGACTGCAAAGCATGCAATCTCATGCTCCACAGTGGCACGGCGACTGCATAGGGGTGGTCTCTTTGCCCGACAACCAGTACATTGTGTTCCATTGACACCAGCACGTCGGCAGCACCATTTGCAATGGTGCCAAGAGCATAGGGACTGGACCAACGGGTGCTCTTCTTGGATGAGAGCAGATTCAGTCTGAGTAGTGATTCTGGATGTACCCTCATATGGCGAGAGGTGGGAACACATAATGCACACACCCAGGAACATTGTTGAACATGATCATTTTGATGGTCAAGGTGTTATGGTGTGAGGAGGCATAATGTTGCACGGGCATACTGACCTCCAAATCTTTGGATGCAGTACTGTCACTGGTCAACGTTACTGTGACACTGCACTCCTTTCCCATGTGCATATTTTCAGAGGTGCATTCGGCCCTGACTTCATTTTTATAGATGACAATGCTCGACTGCATCGAACAGCGCAGGTGGAGGAGCTCTTGGAGCAAGATGATATTCAGCAAATGGACTGGCCTGCCCATTCCCCCCAACTTAAATCCCATCGAGCACGTGTGGGATGTGTTGGGGAGATTTATTGCAACATGTCCACATGCACCAACAACCATCCAGCAGTTGTCAACCACACTGGTGGAGGAGTGGAATGCCCTACCACAGAAACTCCTTACCAACCTTGTGGCCAGCATGGGAGAATGTTGCAGAGCGTGCATTGCCGTCTGTGGTGATCACACACCCTACTAAGAATCATGTCCTGCCTTTTTGTAATGTCCAGGGAGACGATCAGAAATCACGGTGACTTCAGTGTAATTATTGTCACTGAATAAAAGTGTCATTTCTGTTTGTCTCGTTGCATATTTCTGTCAGTTACCTTCTGCACTATACTGTAGCAGTTCTTTCTATGTATGGGCTAAGTTTCATCGAGCTATGTTACTTGGCAGTGACAAAACATGCAAGCGTTACTTTTGTCCTTAAGATTTTTGCACACCAGTGTATTATATTAGTATATTGTTTACATTAATTTAAACATTTTCTGAAATTTTAGAGCAATTTGACAATTACAAAAAAGAAGTATCACAGATTTTCAATTTTTGATTGATTCAAAAGTATAAAAACACAGGTGCATAAAATTAATACGATAATTTTTTTATTAATTATTTGTTTAATTACTTGTCATCAGAAGATATCAACATTCATTATTACAAAAAGTAATGCTAATTTTAAACAGTTTTTTGTGATTTAAAACAATACCTCATGGAAAAACACTAACAAAGTTGGAAATACATCAAATTTACTAACTAAAAGGAGCGGGACAATCACTAAGACAAATTTTGGCAGCTGTGAATTGATCTACACATGCTGTGAGAAGTGTATTAACTCAGGGTGAAAATTATGGCAGAAATAATCAACGTGGAAGGCTTAAACTCTGTACACCTAGAAATGAGAGAAGTTTTTTGAATACTGACGGTCAACAAGTTGTCTGTCAGAGAAGCAGCATCAACATTGCCAACTGCAGTTTCTCCAGCAACTGTATGGAGATACAGTCGACCCTCCTATAACATTGTTGATAATTCTGTTTTATATGAATTTCATGTTGTACGAGTCACTTAGATTTTACAAATATGTGTGCCGGACTGTGAACGGCTCACATATTTGTAAAATCTACGTGACTCGTACAACATGGAATTCATATAAAATGGAATTATCAACAGTTTTATAGGGGTGGTCGACTGTATATGCATAATCATAAAATTACCAAATTTACAAAAATGGCTGCCAAACTGAAATTAACACAATTGCACAAAACAGCTAGATTAAAGTGGGCCAAAGACAAGATGACATGGAAAGAGCAGTAGAAACAAATAGTCTTATCAGATGAAAAAAATGAAATTTGGATGGAGCTGATGGTTATAGTCGCTAGTGGCATGATTTGATACAAGTCAGAATGAGCAGACAGCAAGGTAAGGGCTCTGTGATAATGTGGGCAGGATTTGAATGTGGGGTAAAACAGACATTGTATTTATAGAAGGTAGAATGAATGAAGTATCAAGAACCATTATATCAAAATTTAATAACTATTGGATCACTTATTGGGGAAGAAAACTGCCAATTTCAGCAGAATAATGCTGCCATTCTTGCATCAAAGTCAACTAAAAATTGGTTTACTGAAAAAGAAATTAATATAAATCGATTGGCCATCATGGAGCCCTGGATATGAACCTGATAGAGAATGTTTGGGGCATTATGAGTCATCTTGTTTATGGCAAAAACAGACAATACAATACTGTAAATGAACTGAAATTAGTTATCGTGGATTGGTGGGAAATTATTAAATAAGAACGTGAAAAACTAGTAAATGTATGCCTGATAGAGTATTTGAATTAATTAAATCAAATGGTGGACCTACAAAATATTGAGACATCACAANCATCGGTTTACACGGAAAAAAAAAGGTCCGATACTTTTTGAACAGACCTCGTATATTGAATAATCTAAAAACGAAAAAAATTTTATTTTAAAAGTTTGTTTTAATATAAAAATTATGACACAAAGTGACATCTAGTATCAAAAATGTTCCAATGTAAACACAGAAATATTCGGGATCGCCCACGCAGGTCAATGAGGTCAACCCGAAAATTTTTGGGGTCAACGTAGGACAGGTTAATAGTAGTTGGCTATATAGCCTAGTTTAAAGTAAAAAGGACAAGTCATTTGTTTAGTTCCTATCAAACAGCAGAAGTTCATACTCTTTTATGGTTTTCAGATCATGATTTCATTCCTCAGTGTTTTGAAGAACTGATATATGAGAGGGATATGAGAGGGGAATGAGAGAACAGATCAGTTTACCAGAAGATGTTGATGTTAATTCCGTAAGACTGGTCAGGAAATCACATGAGGAGGGAGAATCAGGTATGTACATGTATCTGAAGATATACATCAGTATATACATGTACAGTATATACTAATATACTATAAATAATAGTTGTTCTGTCATATTGTTGCAGAAGACTTCTCAGACTGATTCCTCCATACAGTTGTTGATAACAACACGATTAAATATGGATGATGAATTCAGAAAACCCATAAAAAACAAAATTATGGGATTCAATATCAAAACAGATGGAAAATCATGGTTACACTGTTTCTCTCAGTGACTGTGATAAGAAACAGAGAAATCTAAAGATGACTTATAAAAGAAATAGAGATAAGGCAAAACAACACACTGGGGAATATGCCATTACCTGGCCATACTTTAAGTTACTGGACCAGGAACTTTGATCTAGAGTGGACATCAATCCCCCAGAAGAAAATATCATTTCTTCTGAACCATGCGTGGAACAGATCCCATCTCCCAGCAAACCTTCAAGCAGTTTGTCAGGACTGCCTGCCCACTCTGAACGTGATGTGACAGCAGTATATCACCCTTCAATAAAATCTTTTCATAATCATGTAAATTTAGAAAGAAAAAGAAGATCCACCAGAGTGGTTTCAAGCTTGGGCCAGTAAGCAAGAGCAAGAAAGGAAAGAGGATCATCAGAGAGAAGATCAGCACTGGCAGAAATTTAAAGAGATCAAAGAAAAACATTTGAAACAAGAAAAAGAATGTGAAGAGAAGAGAATGAACATGATGAGTTCTCTTCTAAATGTATTACAAAAAATTGCAGAAAAATAAAATAATATATGAATTCATTGCAGCTGATTTGTTTTATTTACAATAATATTTACATTTGATATTTTTAATCTTTGCTCAATTTTTACATTTCCCCAAATTATTTAACTTTAGTATAAGTCAATGAATTGTATTAGTGAGAATAACATTTATTAAATGATTTCATATAACTAACTAACGAGAAAATGATAAAATTGTACATAAAATCTTAAATT